ACAGTTCAAAAGAATCAATCCTTCAGTGCTCAGTTTTCTTTATAGTCCAACTCTCACATCTGTACATGACCATTGGAAAAACCATAGCCTTGACTAGACGGACCTTTGTTAGCAAAGTAATGTCTCTGCTTTTTAATATGCTGTCTAGGTTGGCCATAGCTTTTCTTCCAAGGAGCAAGAGCCTTTTTATTTCATGACTGCAGTCACCATCTGTAGTGATTTTGGAGCCCAAAAAAATAAAATCTCTCACTGTTTCCATTATTTCCTCATCCACGAATTCTTTACCACTAAACCACCTGGGAGGTGCTTCCACATACATAATTATATATTGTATATAACTGTACACACTTGGCTTTTATCCTGGGAAAATGGGTTATAGTGAGCAGGACTTCTATAGTGAAGTGTTAGCACTGAACAAAATTGGCAAATATTACGGAAATATAAAGGATCAGAGCCACAACATGCAAGAAATCAGAGGTAAAAGTACACATGCATAAAAGAGCATGCTAATGTAAAAACCAGGTAACAGTGGAGATCAGAAAGCTGAGTAGTTAATTCATAGTTTAAAGGGAAGTCAGGCACTAAATGTTTGAAAGTCAGGGCAGGTAGGTATGATCTAAGACCCACAGGACTAAAGCAGGGGCTGCAAATCTAATTCTGAGGGAAGATCTTCTATACACTCCCAGGAAGATGTGGACTGGACTCTCCCACGCAAAGCCTGTGATCCTTTGACTGCTGAGTAGACTTAAGTAGACCTAAATGAATTTTGTTACCAGGATAAATTGGATTACACATATAATGGCTGTTTGCCTATGATTTCTTAAGCTCAGTTCTCTGTCTTAGCTAGTAGCAAATGGGCAAACTGAAACATGGCTAAGGACAGTTGATGTCTTTAAAGGTCAGGAGAAAAGCACCCCACCCCACACCTCAGAGGTGGAACCGAGAGCCTGTGTTGCAGGAGCCTGGGGAGGTTGCTATAGCAATATGATCACATAGCTGGAATCATTTGTGTACCTAACAGAATTTGAATTTCAAAGTCCACAGGAAGCNATAGCCATTTTGACAATATTGATTCTTCCAATCCATGAACACGGTATATTTCTCCATCTGTTTGTGTCCTCTTTGATTTCTTTCATCAGTGTTTTATAGTTTTCTATGTATAGGTCTTTTGTTTCTTTAGGTAGATATACTCCTAAGTATTTTATTCTTTTTGTTGCAATGGTGAATGATATTGTGGAGCCCATTATACAGAATGAAGTAAGCCAGAAAGATAAACACCAATACAGTATACTAATGCATATATATGGAATTTAGAAAGATGGTAACGATAACCCTATATGCAAGACAGAAAAAGAGTCACAGATGAACAGAACAGACTTTTGGACTCTATGGGAGAAGGCGAGGGTGGGATGATCTGAGAGAACAGCATCGAAATGTGTCTCCCATTTCTTGTTGGTAGGAAGAACGTTTCAGCCCCCATGACCTTTCCTGAGTTCCAAAGGGCAGATGCTTGGAACAGCTGCCAATCAGGGAAGGGAGAGGATGAAGAGACAGTTGGAGGAGCAGCCAAGAAAAACTAGTGCAGCCTTGAGGTAGGGTCATGGTTCACCTAAAGGGACACACACAATATCTTTAAGCTCTTTATAGAATTAAAATCCCCAAACAAATGGAAGATGTTTGCATTTTTCCTTCCAGAGAAGACCATCTGAGACCAGACTAAGGAAACCAGAGAAACTCATCAAGAGACTACCCCAAAACTAGAAATGACATTAAAGGCATGCAGGCCCTGCACATACGTTAATCTTATCAGCAATCCCACCCTTGAACCATTGCTATAAAACTCCTCACCAAATCTTTCCTGGTTGGGACACACAGTATTTGAGGCAGGAGTCCTCTGTGTTCCCCTTTTGCCTGGCAAAGCAAGAAAGCTCTTCTTTTCTATTTCACCCAAAACTCTGTCTCTGAGATTTGATTCAGCAGTGGTGCACAGAGGCTGAGTTTTTGGCCTCTATATCATAGGAAGCCAAGACCCATAAAGGCCCCCAATCTAGTTCTCAAGAGAGAACACTTTCCCTTGATAACCTGGAATAGAATAGAGCCTCTGGGAGGTAATAATTCTGGGTGACAACTCCATAGGCTGATACAGACTATGAAGCAAGTCTCCAGAAGATGCTTTGTTTCAAAGAAAATAGGAGTAAATCAGAGACTTGGGATTTTCCCTGAATAATGCATCTGAGCTTCAATTTTGAGCAGGCTTGAACACCATAACCATATTAAAATAAGACTTATGCCTTGGGTGAGACAAATATTTCTTATATATGACACCAAAAGCACTGTATATAAGACAAAAAATTAATAAATTGGACTTCATCAAGATAAAAACTTCTGCTGACATTGTTCAGTTCAGTCCAGTCACTCAGTCGTGTCTGACTCTTTGCAACCCCATGAACCCACAGCACGCCAGGCCTCCCTGTCCACCATCAACTCCTGGAGTCCACCCAAACCCATGTCCATTGAGTCGGTGATGCCATCCAACCACCTCATCCTCTGTCATCCCCTTCTCCTCCTGCCCTCAATCTTTCCCAGCATCAGGGTCTTTTCAAATGAATCAGCTCTCAGCATCAGGTGGCCAAAGTATTGGAGTTTCAGCTTCAACATCAGTCCTTCCAATGANGTGACAATATACAGCCTTGACGTACTCCTTTTCCTATTTGGAACCAGTCTGTTGTTCCATGTCCAGTTCTAACTGTTGCTTCCTGAGCTGCATACAGATTTCTTAAGAGGCAGGTCAGGTGGTCTGGTATTCCCATCTCTTTCAGAATTTTCCAGTTTATTGTGATCCAGACAGTCAAAGACTTTGTTAACAGAATTAAAAGATGCAAATCATGTCTGATAAAGGACATGTATCTACAATATATAAAATAAGAAAATAAACAATACAATGTTTTAAAGGGACAAAAGTTTTAACAGGCACTTCACCATAAAAGATATATGGATGGTTAAGAAGCACATGAAAAGGAACTCAACAGCATTTGTCACTGAGGAAAGGCATATCAAACACACAATCAAATACTACCACAGTGCTGTTAAAATGACTAAAATGAAATACAAACACTATGGCAAGCATTAGTAAGGAACTAGAAGTTTCATACACTGCTGGTGGGAATGTAAATAGAAGAATCATTTTGGAAAACACTTTGGCAAGAAGTAAAACTTAATTGACCATGTAATCCAGTCATTGGACTCTTAAGGATTTATCCCAAAGAGAAGAAAGTATATGCTCTTACATGTGCTCCTAGCTTTACAAATAAACCTTCTATGTGCTTCATAGTAACTTGATTTGTAGTAGTCTCAAAGTGGAAGTGACCTAAATGCCCTTTAACAGGTGCTCTTGTTATCAGGTGAACAGATAACAAATTGTGGTATATCCGTACAGTGAAATACTACTTAGCAATAAAACAGAATGAACTTTTGATACATACAATGTGGAAGACCCTCAAAATGGTTTTGCTCAGTGAAAGAAGCCACACAGATAAAAAGAGTATGTATTGTATGACTCTATTTATATAAAATTTTAGTAAATGAACATGTAATAACAGAATGTAGACTAGTGGTTGCCTCGAGCTGGTGGGCAGGAGGAGGAAGAATGAAGCTTTTGTGGTTTATTGTGGTGATGCTTTCATGGGTGTGTACATATGGCAAGGCTTACCAAAGTTTACACTTTAGGTATATGCAGATTATTGTACATCAACTACATCTCAATAAAGCCATTAAGAGAAGGGAAAAGGAGGAGAAGGAGCCCTGAGTTCTGTGATTCTTAGCTGTTGACAGGTCCCTCCAAGACACTAGCAAAAGTTCCAAAATATGGAAATATCTTTCAAATTTGGAAATTTGTACTGGAAACTCAAGATCACATAAGGTCTTTCAGGGTCTTTACAAGCTTAAAGAATTTTTGAAACTTAATGCTTAAAGGTGTTTTTTATACTGGGAAGCTGTTATCCCAGGTTTTGGAGTTTTTGGTGGAACTATCATTCAAGCCCCCCCCCCCTCCATCTTTTCCAGGTTCCAGTTAGTTTCCTAGTCACCTTGCTACTTGTATAGAAAGTGTGGGGTCTCAGCTTCCTGGTGGTTGGCATTGCAGACACACCTGCTCCTACTCCAGCCTGATCCCTTCGAGTTCCTAACCCTGAAATCTTGTCTCTGCCTGCCATTCTTGACCTGCTCCTGCCTTCTAAGCACTTGGCTTTTCATCTCTACTCTATCCTCTGTCCTCTGGCCCACTCATCCTGGTTGCCCATGCAGATCCTTGGCCCTAGTTGTGGTTATACAAAATTCAAACACTGGGCAGACACATTTGGTGCCTCTGTGGAGGGGTCAAGGGCAGAACTGTGGGGAGGTTTTTCAGATTCTCTTTGGCTGGATTGTCCTCTGACCTGCAGATAGTATCACAGGTTCCTTCAGCTAAGTTTACACAAGTGGTTCAGAGCATCTCCGTGGAAACACTCCTGACCCCCACACCAGGCTGGGTTGGGGTCCCCTTTTCTCCTCAAAGATCTCATGTTTCCCTTTATCATTTCATTTACTTGCTTTTCTTTTTATTTTCTTGCCTTTCCCCAATCCACATCCCTTTTCCAATATGACAGACTCTGGAGAAAAGGAATTCGTCTCAAACATCTCTGTAGTCTCAGTACACAACGTAGATCCAGACATATAGAAGACAAACAGCTAAACAGCTAATTTAGCTTAGAGCAGTAATACCAGCAGGGCCTAAGCTGATAGGTCCTGGAGACCATCTGTTTGTTTCAGCTTGCAATACAAATGTGGTTCCTTGACTTTAGATTTTTATCAGTGTGGTTTGGAAGGAAGCAATGACCCTGTTCTTTGATAAACTTTAAAGAATGTCTAAGCCTTAAAGACGTATAAACACTAAAGAAGAATCAATTTATTCTTCCCAGATGAACTCTAACCTGTTTTCCAAATATATTACATTTCCTACCCAGCAACCAGAAAGCTATGTTCATTACATTCCTTGAAAAGAGAGATGGCTGAGATTCACATCCCGAGTCCCTGGCCAATCTTCTACCCACACGGTACGTGATAGGTCTCCATGCAGAATAGCAGAATGATCACTCCAGGAAAGTTTGCTTCTGAAAAATGCTGCTCCCCATCTACTTTCCTGCCTGGGGAATAGGCTAGAGAGTGAGAATCATGTGGGATCCCTCCTTCCTCTCTGGTTTGAGGTCTCTGCAACTGTCCTAGTCCTAACCTAATTCCCTCCAGTTCCTGTTTGGACACTATCCACTGAGCAGGAGGCATTTTCAGACTTGTCAGACTGCAGTGCTCCTAAGAGGCAGATAATGCATGGTGTCCATCTTTCCTCCCTTTCACTTCTTGCCCTAATCCCTTTATCCCACCCCACTCCCCATGTGAGAAGGTGATGGTCCCTGAGGGCCCTTGTTCTCATTAGGTTTTGCTCAGACCTGAGCTTATTGGCCCCAGGAATGAAGCTGGGGGCAGGGGTGAGGCCAACAGAGGGAGGGTGATCACAGTTACACATAAAGCAGGGTGACAGAGGAGATGTGAGGAATGGCAGCTTGAGTCCTTATTTCTGATGTCCTCTCTCACCACATTCCCTGCAGGAACTCAACAAGGAAGCAAAAATGACACATAGGTGGGAGTGGTCCTGATGCCAACTCTTAAAGAGGAGCCAACACATGTCTAAGTTTTCATGTTCCCAGGGACTGGATGGTGGTCAACTTCTGCTCTGTGGGACCTGCTTCAATCACCTTGAAGAGGTAGGATCCAGTGACAAGGGAAGTGGAGCCCTTTCTGGCCAAATCTGGGTGAAGATATCTGACCACCCAGCAGGATGCGCTAGCCCAAGACACCAACCACGAGCTACCAAAGGCACAGAGAGAAAGGCCACTGCCTTCAGCACTGAGAGCAAACCAACCTTTTATGTTCTCTGCCTTGCTCTTCCATCCTCCACTGATGCAAGACCATCAGCCTGACCTGCTCATGTCCTGGAGGGAGCCACGCCCACAGACAAGGATACGGAATGAATGAGTCCAAGTGAAAAGCATGAAGAGGGGCCAAGCAAAGAGCCAGACTTCTTCCCAAGGATGGGCTTTAGTGAAAGAAACAAGAAAAATTAAAGAAAAATTCATAGAAACTGCAGAAAGCTATACAACTAGAAAACCAAAAAGGAATTTGGGTATGTTTTTTAAAACATCTGAATTGAAAAGTACAGTTGCAGAACTAAAAAATATTGTAAACAAGTACATGCCAATAAAAATCAATTTTATAAAGTGTAGAAAATTCTAAAAAAATAAGCTGTAGGAAAATTAAGAGAACTCATAAGGTCACAGTCATATGATGCCAGCAACATTTTAATTTTTGTGTTGTATTTCTATATAGTAGAGATATCAAATTTTAAAAAAGAACTAAAAAATAGAACTGATTCAACTGAAAACTAAATTAGTAATCAAAAACATCAAGTAGAAGAATGATCTCACTACACAAAAGCAGAAAATACAAAGAAAAAAAGAGTGAAAAGAATAAGAGATATGAAGGATAGATCCAGGAGACTCAAGATGCAAAATGCATAGTTTCAGAAAGAGATAAATGAGCAGAACTAAGAGAAGCAAAAAGGTCAAAAAAAGGAAAAACTCTGAGTTGAAAATGATACAAACTTTTAAAGATACACTTGAAAAAATTTCCGAAATTTGAAAATAAAGAGATTGGCTTACAGGCTTCCAAACATGGCAAGAAGTTTCATTTCAAAGGCAAGAGGTTCAGAGCACAACAGATTCTCATCTGCAACTTTAGACACTAGAAGACAATGGAAAAATGTTTGTTTAGTTTTTCAAGGAAAGCATTGTGATTCAAGAATCTTATACTGTTCAATAAAGTATCCCCTAGTTGCTCAGATGGTAAGGAATCCACCTGCAATGCGGATGACCTGATTCGATCCCTGGGTCGGGAAGATCCTCTGGAGAAGGGTATGGCTACCCACTCCAGTATTCTTGCCTAGAGAATCCCATGGACAGAGGAACCTGGAAGGCTATAGCACATTGGGGTGCAAAGAGTCAGACATGACTGAGCGACTGAGCACAGATACATTCATGTGGGAAGTGAAAGAATTTTTTCAGCTTAAGAAGACTCATAATGGATGCCACCCAAGTATATTTCTAAGTAAATTACTTGAGGGAGTGTTCTAATTTTTTTAATTAGAACAAAAAACTCTCAGAATGAAATATTCAAAGAGTAGGAGTTAGTAAAAAAAAAAAAAAGTTAAGCCTTCATTTTGTTCCAGCATAAAGTGGCAAGCAAGACAGGGCCCTGTCCTCTAGAAGCTGCTAATCAGATGCTCAGTGTTGTGAAGATTTGGTTGGGGTGATCTGGGGGAGAAGGAACTGATATGCTGGTACTGCTTTGGCAGAATTGGGGATGGCATTTGGGTTAACTGAACCCAGGTCTCCCACATTGCAAACAGATTCTTTACCAGCTGAGCCACCAGGGAAGCCCAAGAATACTGGAGTGGGTAGCCTATCCCTTCTCCAGCGGATCTTCCCGACCCAGGAATAGAATCCTACATGGCAGGCGGATTCTTTATCAGCTGAGCTACCAGGGAAACCCCTTCTAAGGAGGAGACAACCTTGCATACTTATAGGAGAAGAACATTCTGAGCAGAAAAAAAAAAAACGACAGTCTTTGTGATGAAAATAATCATGGTATGTTCTGCTCATTCAGACAGAATGGGTGACTGGGCATGGGGAACATGGGCAGGAACAGAGGAAGAGAAAGTCAGGGAGACAGTGGAGCAGAGACCATCACCAACTCACTGAAATGTAGTTTGTTCTTATTCCAGGACACATTAGGTCAGTCCTCCAGCCTCCTGGGAAAGTGTGTGTGATCATGAGAGTTCCAGCAAGTGCAATGTGAACAGAAGTGACACTCAATTCTGCCCCATAAATGCCACCCATATGCACTCCTCCCTGCTTCCCCCCCACCTTCCAGCTAGTTAGAATGAAAATGACCCCCAGGCTGACTTTCAAAGAGACATACAAGTTGAAGATGACGGCAGTCTGTATCTCTGAAGTTTAACAATCAGTGCTGGTATATGAGCAAGAAACAAACACCTCTACAGTTTTGTAACTGAAAGTGGGGTCTGGCTGCTCACCACTCAAAAGCCAATAAAAAGGCAAGGTTGGTGGAAAGGAAAGTTTGCTTTATTTTGAATACTGGCAACCAGTGGGGAGGGTAGACGCCTGTTCAAAGGCTGACACCTCCCACCGACAATCAATGGGCAAGAGCTTTTACAGGCTGAGAAAGGGGGTTGTAAGCAGAAACTGTACCAAGACATCTTGAAACTGGGCATTGGTGGTGTGACCAGTGTCATTTTTTTTTTTTTTGGCGACACTGGGTTTTCATTGCTGAGCATGGGCGTCCTCTAGTTGCAGTGAGTTGGAGACTGCTCTCTAGTTGTGGTACAAGGGGTTCTCACTTCAGTGGCTTCTCTTGTTGCAGAGAACAGGCTCTAGGTGCTTAGGCTTCAGTAGTTGTAGCACATGGGCTTAGTTTCTCTGAGATCTGTGGAATCTTACCGGACTAGGGATAGAACCCATGTCCCCCTGCCTTGGAAGGTGGGTCCTTATCCACTAGACTACCAGGGAAGGTCCTGACCAGTGTCATCTTGATTGTTATAAGTACAGTTAGTCTTCAGTTCCAGGGTCAGTTTGTTACCATTTCCTTGAGGTCAATTCTTGGAATTGAAGCAGCTTATGTCATGGCTACAGTCTGATCATGATGTAATTAACTTCTTAAACCTGGTAGACTTTTCAGTATCTATGATAGAGCTCACAGGATACTACCCATAGCTCAGAATATTGCCTATAGCTCTTGAGAAGGAACTAAAAGGTCCTTGACTATGTTTAACTGCTATTTGGTCTCCTTTGACTGTTTTGTTTCTGCACGTTTTCACTTCTTTCATTAAACTTATTCTTTGGGTGAAGTTTTTCCACAGACAAAAAACAAGCAGAGGACATGTTAGGATCGTGCTCTGTTTCAGTTTGAGCCATTGTTGAGAACTGGGGTAAATCTGTTTCAGCAGTTAGCACACTCTGACCACCACAGGCAGGCAGGATCTTATGGGATCATAGTCCAGAGCTGAATTTTCTCACCAAATATAATCAGAAAGGCCAGAGGTATCATGGGAATGGGAGGGGGAAGGAAATATCATGATCAAACTTCTAAGTTCTAAGGCCAGGGATCAATCAAGAGACCATTGCCATGGTCTTGGAGAGAGATTGCTGTGTCTTGGAGCAGAGATTTAGAAATTGAGAGGCCATAATGTGATTCAATTAGGAGAAATTTTGGAGGTAAAGTTGATATTTTGAATGCAGGATATGCGAGAGGAATAAAGGATGATTCATGAGTCTGAGGTATTTTACCAAGATGAGAAGAGTTACAGTCAAAAGCAAATTTGAGGAATGGAAAATTCAGATTTCTGTTCGTTTCTGTTAAATCTGAGATGTCTACTAGATACCCAAGGGAGATTTTTAGATATATGTATCTGGCATCTCACACAGTAATTGGGAACCCTTAGTGTCTGACGCCTGTGACTGGGACCTCTTAGGGGAGAGTGTTGGTAGAAATGAGTCTGGCATTTCGGGTTCTGTTGGCTAGGAGGAGACAGCAATGGGGACTGAGGTATGCCAAGAGGGTAGGAGGAGAGCCTAAAAAGTGTGGATTCCCAGGAACTTGATGAGGTTTTCCTAGCACTACCTGACTGCACTGATGTAAGTGAGGATTAAGCACACACAGTAAGTCCCGTACATATGAACCTTCAGGTTGCGAACTTTTCAGGTGTGAATGTGTGTTCTTATATCTAATCACATCAGGCATGAATGAAATTGAAGCTTGCCCTGCATCTCCTATTGCTGATGATCCTTCGTCTATACCATCTCCCACCTCCTCTCCTTCCTCCGGTCAGTAACTTCTTGCCTGCTCACTCAGTACCAGTTCCTGTGTGCCAGCTGTTGTACCGTACTTTTCAAATTACTGTAAGATTTTAAATGTTTTCTTTATTTTTGTCTGTTCTTTATGTATCATTTGTGTGAAAAGTATTATAAGCCTCTTAGAGTACAGTACTATACAGCCAATTGTGTTAGTTGGGTACCTAGGCTAACTTTGTTGGACTTACAAACAATTTGATTAGAAATTGAGAGGCCATAATGTGATTCAATTAGGAGAAATTTTGGAGGTAAAGTTGATATTTTGAATGCAGGATATGCGAGAGGAATAAAGGATGATTCATGAGTCTGAGGTATTTTACTGAGATGAGAAGCATTACAGTCAAAAGCAAATTTGAGGAATGGAAAATTCAGATTTCTGTTTGTTTCTGTTAAATCTGAGATGTCTACTAGATATCCAAGGGAGATTTTTAGATATATGTATCTGGCATCTCACACAGTAATTGGGAACCCTTAGTGTCTGACGCCTGTGACTGGGACCTCTTAGGGGAGAGTGTTGGTAGAAATGAGTCTGGCATTTCGGGTTCTGTTGGCTAGGAGGAGCCAGCAATGGGGACTGAGGTATGCCAAGAGGGTAGGAGGAGAGCCTAAAAAATGTGGATTCCCAAGAACTTGATGAGGTTTTCCTAGCACTGCCTGACTGCACTGATGTGAGTGAGGATTAAGCACACACAGTAAGTCCCGTACATATGAACCTTCAGGTTGAGAACTTTTCAGGTGCGAATGAGTGTTCTTATATCTAATCACATCAGGCATGAATGAAATTGAAGTTTGCCCTGCATCTCCTATTGCTGATGATCCTTCGTGTATACCATCTCCCACCTCCTCTCCTTCCTCCGGTCAGTAACTTCTTGCCTACTCACTCAGTACCAGTTCCTGTGTGCCAGCTGTTGTACCGTACTTTTCAAGTTACTGTAAGATTTTAAATGTTTTCTTTATTTTTGTCTGTTCTTTATGTATCATTTGTGTGAAAAGTATTATAAGCCTCTTAGAGTACAGTACTATACAGCCAATTGTGTTAGTTGGGTACCTAGGCTAACTTTGTTGGACTTACAAACAATTTGTACTTATGAATGTGCTCTCAGAATGAAACTCGTTCATTGTGTAGGGGACTTGCTGTAGTCAGTTTTAAGCAATTTGGGATTTTTCCAGTCAACT